GTGCAATCAAGTCCATCCTCAGTACTTGGGCGCAAAAGGACATTTTCTTCTCCAGCTTGTCTACACCCACGGCGTGTCTGGTGGCAGTTTTTTTTGATGCGGCCAGTGATGACCCGTGGAACGACGAGTACCCTTGCCTGCATGCGATGGTGAAGGAATGCAGTGAAGGACAACGATGGGTTTCAATTGACGGGACTTGAGTCCAGGGCAATATGGCCTGTGAACACTCGGGGTGATGAAGTGCGTCATGTATCCTTGAGCCACGACTTCACACTTGTGGCGTCGGTGACCATCGAAGAGACTCCGAGTGGGAACACTCCTCCACTGACTGCGGTGCTGGCACACACTGCGTCCAATCATACCGTGGGACTGTCGTACAGCCATAATAAGAAGTGAGTGACGGCGTTCGAAGGCAAGACAACGACACGGAGCAGCACTTGGGAGCCGAGGAAAGAACACCAAGTGGCACACTCACGCTGCAAGGCAACAAGGCCTCTGTGCACATTGTTGGTCGGTCGCTGGGGGAGGAAGAGGTGCTGTTAACAGGCGAGAGGCCACCTGAGGTCCTGAGGTTTTTCTTTGGCGCGTGCGGTGGGCACGAATCTCATGTGACGCTGACGAACGTCTTTCTGTACAGCCGCCCACTGAACTCCACTGCGATGCGTGCACTCAGGGACAGGGTCCCCATTCCGACGAGAGAAGCGGCTCCGACACCACCCGAGAAGATTCGAGTAGTTGACAGTGTCAGAGAGTACGTTGCTGGGAATATTACGGAAGAGAAATGAATGGGCACAACGCCCCTGGACACGAATCCCCACTACAAATAGTCACCTCGCAGGGTGTGGAGCGGCGTGAGTCCCGACGACCGCCTCGCCTCTCTCAACGAAGTGAAGTTGACACTGCGTGATTTAGACGGTAACAACACCGTGCGTGCGTGCGTGTCTTGTGTGTTGCTGCTTCTAATAGGATTGTATTTGGGTGGTGGCAGCCTTCTGAGCCACAGAGTGTGGATTTGTGACTCCTCACCTAGAATACATGCCGCATTGCCCGCCTTTTTTTTACTTCTACTTCTTCAATTTCTTTACTTTTAAATGTCTTTTTTCACTGTAGTTCAGCCGGAGTAATAACTACTGTTGTTTTTTCTTTGCGTAATTTTAGGTTGCTGAACACTGTAATGAGCGAAGTGTTTCTCCCTCTTGTTTGTTTTTGTTTTTGACCACACGCGTTGCCGGCCCTGCGGCTGTGCGTCCCACGGACTGCACGAAAGGAGGATTGGAGGAACAGGCCGGATGCCGCATGAAATGTGAAGAATGTTGTGTGGGATGCTGGAATAATGCGATCTTTCTTTATTATTACGTTTTTCGTTTGTGCAGGTAATATGTGCAAGCACCCAATCGTCTTTAGCTGCATGGCACATGAAAGTCCTGCCAAATCATTTTTTTTTTTTTCCATGAGTCCTGCAGGGGTCCCACATTTTGTTTGTTTGTTTGTTTCATTTTTTTTTTTTTTTCGTAATTCCCTGCGGATATGTTTTTGTCTCTGCCGTTTTGACTGTTATTTTGTGTCTTCTTGTTCCGTTGGGTGTGTCCCTGCTGATTGTGCTGTTGACATGTTCCATTTCTTCTGCTTTCTTTCCTGCTAGAGGCACCGATGGTCCGCGACGCCGATTGTTTGTGGTCCCCCATTGCGATGGCACGAGGGTGACTGGGCGCCGGCCTGCTGAGTGCACTCGGAGGAGAGCGGATGGTGTGCAACGTGCTCCATTTGTGAGTGTGGGACGCCACTCGCCGCCTTGTCTGTGGCACAGCCCTCAAATTCCTCTTGTGGCTGTGTTCTGGCATGCTTTTCACTTTTGTATTTTGTTGCTGCGGGTGCGGGTGGCAAGGCACAGGCAAAAATGCACTGTTAGGGCGCTGCGGCGGCGCCGCTCCCCTCGGCGATGCCGGTGCTGTGTGCGGCTGCTGCCTCCCTCCGCGGCGATGGGGAGATGGGGGCCACGGATAGACTGCACGGCGGTTCTCCCTCCCACTCCCTGTGTGTGTGTGTGTGCGGCGGATGAGGTCTCCATCTATTCCTCACCAGGACGGAGGAAAGGAAAGGGTCACACAACAATAGAAGAGAGGAATGAAGGTAACGTGGAGTGGGAAATGATGGACCGAATATGTGTACACAGGCTGGAAGGGTAGTAAACGTGGTCGAGAGGGATGGTAAGGAAATACAAACAAATAATGCATAGGAGGAGGAGGATAGGGAGGAGGAAAGAGGGATACATGTACATACCACATATATAATATATACATTACATATATTTATGTGTGCATTTATACACATGTGTGTCTTGACTCTCCCGTCTTCATTATTAGTTCCACGCGGCATTAGAGAAGAAGTGTTGGGGAGGGTTTGACGGAGTCTCTTCTTCTTCTTCTTCTTCTTCTTCTTCCTTTTTATTCTTCTCAGGGCGTGAGGATGAGGCGGCGACGTGCCCATCTTGGCTTT